ACTTAATAGTAAATCATGCAAATTTAATATAAATTAGTAATAATTGGTAGTAACTTATAGATAATTTAGTGATAAATTGGTGATAATTTTGTAATAAGTAATTGAAAATTAAGTACTAAATCAATGGTTAAATAATAGTAAATACAAGAAAATATAATAGTAAATCATTAATAATTTAGTACTAAATTGATAACTTAATAGTAAATCGCAAATAACATTATAGTAAATTATTAATAACTTAGTTTTAAATTAGTGATAATGTAGTAGTAAATTAATTGATCGTTGATAACTTTTTAGTAATCAACGATAAATTAATAATAAATTAGTTATAATTTTATAATAAATTATTAATAAATTAATGGTAAATCATCAATAATTTAATGATAAATCATTCATAATTTAATAGTAAATTATTCATAAATTAGTAGTAAATCATTGATAATTTGATAATAAATAATTTATATCTTAGTAGTAAATAATTGATAACTTAATTATCAATCATTAATAATTTTTTTTTGTACCAAAAGTTGTCAAGAATTGAACCCTAATTATTAGCATAAATTAAGATAAAACTTTCAATTTGGGATTAGGATAAACCTAGTATGAACTTATTCAATAAAAATTTAATGAAAAAAAATCTAAACTTGAATAAATTAATAATGTTATTATATAAAAAAATTATCTCATATATTATTAGTGGATTTTTATATTTCATGTTTTGTAATTGTAAATACATAACAACATATTAATAATTAATGATACGTTAATAGAAAATAATTGATAATTTAATAATAAATCAATAATAACTTAGTAGCAATGATAACTTAATAGTAAATTAATTTCAATTTAATAGTAATGAAATTGATAAACTTAGTAGTAAATGATAAATAAATTAGTAGTACTTAATCAATGATTATTTAATAGTAAATCATGGATAATATAATATAAATTAGTAATAAATTGATAATGAATCATGATTAATTTAATAATAAATTTGTGATAATTTTGTAATAAATAATTGAAAATTAAGTAGTAAATCAATGATAATATAGTTGTAAATGTATAATAACATAATAGTAAATTGTTAATAATTTAGATGTAAATTATTAATAACTTAATAGTAAATCACTAATAACTTAATTGTGAATCAATAATAATTTAGTAGTAAATTGATTAATCATTTATAACTTTGTAATAAATCATTAATAAATTAATAGTAAATTCAATTATAATTTTATAACAAATCATCAGTAACTTAGTAATAATTATCAATGATTTAATAATAAATCAGTCATAATTTAGTAGTAAATTATTCATAAATCAGTGCTAATTTAGTAGTAAATCATTGATAATTTAGTAGTATATCATTGTTAACTTAGTAGGAAATCTCTGATAATATAATAGTTAATTTAACAATTTTAAGTATAAAATATTTTTTTAATAATTGACAATTAAGTTATAATTGAGTGTATCTTAAAAAAAAATCAATAATAACTTAATTGTTAATTAGTAATAAAACTTTTTATACTTGACATTGTTAGAATTGAATCTTGATTACCAACAGAAAATGAGTTAGAAATTTTATTTTGGGAGGCTAAGAAAAACCTCCTATAAATCTATTCAATAAAGAAAATTTAGTGAAAAAATTTTAAATTTGAATAAAACAATAATATCATTAAATATATGATGAAACAAATTTTATCAATAATTACTACAAGTATATCATAAGTTATCAAAAATTTATTAAAATTATATTAAGAGGTTACTAAAATTTTATAAAAAATTATCCAAATTTTATCAATGATTATCAAAATTATATCATAAGTTACCAAAATTGTATAAAAAATTACTAAAATTTTATCAAAGGTTTTCAAAATTAAAATTATATTAAAAGTTATAAAAATTTACTTATATTATACCAAAATTAAAATTAAATTATTAGTATTTATCATTATTATTATTATATAAAATTTTTTATTAAAATAAATTTTTATAAATAAAAATTACACGTGCACATGTGTCAAAAACTAATATATATATATATATATATATATCTTCTCATCATAATGATCTCGCATGCCTTGTGCTTTTCCATGAGATTTTATCCAACAAAATGTACAACAGACTACCTAATAATGGGTTGTTTGTCATATTTTCTTATTTTAAAAGTCTAAATACAAAAAATTATCTTCTTAAATATTGCAGCAAATTCCTTTTCTTACATTTTTAGGTTTCTAACAGCATTATGGCTATAAATCCATTCTGATTCACATGATGGCTATTATACTGCCAACCTGAAACGTATGATCATGGCTTTTTTTTTCAGGTTCGAGACTTCAGAGAAGATTGGAACCTTACAGTTACTCAACCTGTAGCGGGAAATTATTATCCAGTAATTTCTCAATCCTAGTTTATCTAACAGTACTGAAATAGATACGAGTTAAAACTCACGTTGATTACTTAGCTTGAGACTTGCCCAGCTGGCCAACATCTATGCAAAATGTTCATTGCTATCAGCTATGAGTGTTAGTTAAATGTCAGGCAGCTTGAGCTTAGTTTTGATCTTCACTTTTTACTTTTCAGTACTTCATAGATGTGTTAAGAGTCAATAGCATTTTACAGCATCATTTAACTGTAATTATTCACCATCTCTGGTTATCTCTATAGGTTTTCATGGTATGGACTGAGATGGTTCAGGCATTTCATTTTCATTGTAAAATATTGATGCTTGAAATAATACTCCTATACTGATTGTGTGAAATCAATATTTGTCTAACTTTTCCAGATTAACCTTGGAATCTGTACTATGGATAAGAAATTTGAATTCTCTGTATTGGTTGATCGCGCCACCGGAGGATCCAGCATTAAAGATGGAGAAGTAGAATTAATGCTTCACAGGTTTCCTTCACTTTCTGCTTTAAACATTCACACAGGGCTAATATATGCCTTTTAATGTAGACTAATGTATTGATATTGACCTGATAAACTCTCTTTTCTAATGCACTAGACGGATGCTCGAGGATGATTCCAGAGGAGTGGTTGGAGCCCTTGATGAAAGCATGTGTGTAGGAAGCAAATGCGAGGGACTGACGGTACATTCTGCCATTACAACAGCATTTTATTCAATATTCATTCAAATAATCTACTGGAATTGTGCCATGTTTTCCATCTTGATCAATAGTGGATAAAATTTCGAAATGTTGCACTATTATCATATAGAACTTCTGAAACTCAAAATGTTTCACATGTACCTTCTATATTGTTCATTCATCTACTCAAGCCCTATGCTGCAAACCTGCAATAATTTATTTGGATGGTTTTGGCCCAGATTCGAGGGAATTACTATATTAGCATCAACCAGATAGGGGAAGGCGCCCGTTGGCGTCGAACAACTGGTCAACAAGTTTACTCGCCTCTTCTTTTAGCTTTCACACATGAGGTATATATCCACTTGATTAATTGTGCCATAAAAATTTGTACATCATAACTGTATGAAATGATCGATCATTCAGAAAATGGAGACCTGGACGGCATCTCATTTGACAAAAGCAACTGCCATGGATCCAGGGTACAGCTTGCCGCTCAATGTCGTTTTAATTACTCTTCAGGTGACAGTTTTAACTTTAACCCATTTTTTAACATCTAATTTTCTACTTAAAATATCCTCTAAAATAGTAGTTTTGCAGGAAATGGATGATGGAAGTGTTCTTCTCCGTTTGGCACATCTGTATGAAGTAAGTGACTCCACATCCTAAGCTGCACCTGAAATTTCCATTAAACCACATCTTCTGCCCAATGGGGGCATTTTCCAATCACAGCCTAGTTATTTGGAAAACTACTAAAAATACATTAACATGATTCTTTCTTGGATTATAAAAATTTTGACTTGTGATTTTTGTGATTGTTTTTCTCAGGTGGGTGAAGATGCTACCTATTCAACTCTAGCTAAAGTTGAACTAAAGAAGATGTTCAATGGAAGAATGGTACGTATAGCTTTTGATTTATTTGTTTCAACGAAAAGCTAGCCATTTGTAACTAGCATTGAGCTGCCTTTTGGTGTTGATTGGTGTTACTTTTTTCAGATAAAGCAAGTGAAAGAAACGAGCTTGACAACAAACCAAGTGAAGTCGAAGATGAGGAAATTGTCATGGAAAGTAGAAGGTGACAATGGAAATGAACCCTCCCCTGTTAGAGGAGGCCCTATTAGTACTTCAACTCTTGTCGTCGAGCTTGGTCCGATGGAGATCCGCACTTTCCTGTTGATCTTTTAATCAATTTTTTACTAAACTAAGAAATAAACGTAATATTATCCCTTTCTTTATCAATTTGAGCTTGACTTTTGTGAGAAATATTTTCAAAGTAAAATCCGGAATATATAAATTGAAGTAAGAGAATAGATACTTAGATCATTCATCCTAAAAGAAATTATATCAAACGAAATCTGGAAATACCTACTGTCTTGTAAAAAAAATAATGTTGTATATTTTCTCTATATTTGGTAATTGGGCTAGTTCGGCCCATCAATCTTTTAATTTTAAAACGGTGCTAACAATGCATTCGGCCCAGCTTAAATCTAGCTCGGTAAATAAAAATACAAATAGAAAGATAAAGTAGTAAATCTTGTACAGTTGCGTTCTCGCGCGGGAACATACCTGACAGTTTAACTGTTAAAACAACCAATCCGCGACTGCACGCGTCTTATGCTCACTCGTCCCCATATCGTCCCTCAAAGTAGGGAGCTTCTATTCTTGTGTTAACAGAAAAAAAAAAAAAACCCTCTCATTTTCCCTTTTCAAAACTAGACGGAAATTAGATTATTGTAGAATCCCTAATCAGACTAGCTCCTTTACCCGAGGTGAAATCAAACCCCCGATATCCCCCGCAATACTCATCTCTTATCCAATAACCTTACCCTTCATCGACTTGCGCGTCTCGTCGAAAATTTTTCCCAGACTCCCCATATTCCGTTAACACGGCACATAAGCGACCACTTCCAGCTTCTCTCATGCGCCCACTGGCACACCGAAAGCTGTCGAGGCAAGTTTTAATCAAGATCCCTGGCGCCATCCTCAACTTGATCGATAAATCTTATAGCGTCGAGCTGGCTTGTGGCGATTTCACCGTGATTCGTCTCTGGCAGGGTGAAAACATCGTCGCTGTACTCGCGCGCGTCGCTGACGAAATCCAGTGGCCGTTAATGAAAGACGGAGCCACCGTGAAACTTGACGATTCTCATTATTTCTTCTCTCTTCAGTTACCTAAGGAAGCCGAAAACGATTCGAGTGACAGCGATGACGATGATAAAAAGAGAAAGAATAAGTCCTCCGGCGACGGATCTGATTTGCTTAATTACGGTTTGACATTCGCTTCGAAAGGACAAGAATATTTGTTGAGAGAATTAGATGTTATATTGCAAAGTTACAGTTATTTTACGGTGCAGAGAGTGGCGGAGAAAGGGGAGGAGGTGTTGGATGGGGCGGTGTTTGCGGCGAAGGAAATGTCGCCGGCGGATTTAAAGTCAGAGACCATGAAAGAGGTGATGGAAGGGAAATGTGCGGCATATTGGACCACGCTGGCGCCTAATGTGGAGGATTATAGCGGGAGAGCGGCTAAGACGGTTGCGGCAGGCTCAGGGCATTTGATCAAGGGGATATTGTGGTGTGGAGATGTGACAGTGGATAGATTGAAGAGAGGGAATGAGGTATTGAAGAAGAGAATGAGTCCGGCTGAAAAGAATGCGGAGGTTAGTCCAGAGACATTGAAGAGAATCAAGAGGTTAGGAAATGAATAGTTTTGATTTATGAATTTTCTTTGTTATATTTCCATTTCCATTTCCATTTCCATTTGCCTTTTGCTTTTTCTTGCTCTTAAATATATAGTTCATAGTTAATGAAGTCATAAGGTTAATAGTAATGCTTGGATTTGGAAACAAGTAGCTTATTTGCATGGTGGGATAACCACAAGCTCTGTCATTGTGTTTTAGATAGCATAAAGAGTACATATATTCCCCCAATATAGAAACAAGATAAAGGTTATTGAACAATTTCGTATAGAATTAGGTTTGCAGTGTGTTTAAGGAAGCGGAGCACAACAATAACATTTATTTTCAAATCTTAATAAATTTTTAATTTTTTTTTCTGCAAGATAGGGAGAGAAAAGTGGAAATTCTTTTCATTTCATTTGTATAAATTTATGTGATAACCCTTTGCGCATTTTCTCCTTCAAGTACTATGCCTGAAAGCAATGAAATTTCAAATGGAACTGGAACTGAAATACAACTTTGTTAAGAAGAATTTTGCTCCATATTTTTTTTTCTTTTGTGATTTAAGTTGAGTTTCATGGATAATAATAATGACGGTACTAAAGTTAACATTTTTTCTTGTGGTTTTTATTTCTAATTCTGATGCAAACTCTCCTTGATATTTTTGGTTTAACTGTACATACAGGGTTAAGAAGGTGACAAAAATGACACAGAAAGTGGCGAACGGGGTTCTCTCTGGGGTTGTGAAAGTTTCTGGAGTTGTTATGAGCTCAGTTGCAAACTCAAAAGCGGGCAAGAAATTTTTTAGTCTCCTGCCTGGAGAAATGGTTCTTGCAACCCTAGATGGGTTTAGTATGTCATTAATCTATCGTCACTTTATTTCTTATGCTCACATGCATCGTTTTAGAATGTCATCCATCTTTTTGCAATTTACAAAGAAAAAAGAATGTTTGATTTGTGTCCTTATGTGTGGATGCTAATCAATAAAGATGACAACCTCATTGCATCCTAGGTTCATCTAGGGCTTTGCTAAATTTATACGATCCAAAAGGATTATTGCTCTTTTTAAGTATCTAGATATCAATAGAGAAGATGACAAATACATTGCCTACGTGGTCTTTCTAGGTCTGCGGTAGATTGATACAAGCTGAAGGATATTTGCATCCTGGTATTATGGTTTCCTCTCTTCAGGTGGCATTGAAAACAGTAGATGGTTTAGAGTCATTTGGTCTTTGCGCCCCATAGGCTATTGCTTATAGGTGTAGACTCCATTTAGGTTTTTAACCATACAACTTAAACTTGAGATATTCAAATGCCTTGGGATTCCTATCTCATTACACCCTATTTTTGCATGTATTATCTATTCCTGAATTTTTCATTTCATTAAATCTCAGTCATCAAATCAGCTTATTAGCTAACTTTTTAGCCATTAGTTCATCTTAGGTCATGTTTGGTATCATTTTCAAGATCATCATGGTTTATTGAGGTGATCTTATTACTAAGGTGATCTTATCATTCGTGATCTTAAATCACTTTGTTTGTTTAAGGATTATTAAATTTTAGTAATTAAAGATCATTGTATTTGGTATTACTAAAAATTAAACATTATTTTTTTTGAAAATTCCAAAATAATCATGTATATGATAATAGTTACAGAAGTCAATGGTTTCAATATCATTGAAAAATAATAATTTTAAGATATTAGTGATATTTTATTTACTTTATAATAAAACATAATTAAAGTATTAAATATAAAAATATATTTACTAATAGGTAAACTAGCTTTTATAGTATAAATAATGTGAAAAATATTTGAATTAAAAATAAACTGAACTTATTAAAAATAAAAATATTATATCATATAAATTAAAAAATTAAAAGAAATCTCTCAAATTATTTTGGAACTTGTTAAAATGAATTTTAATTTGAAAATATAAAAAATTATAATATAAAATAAGTACAATTAATTTTGAAAATAAACAAGTTTTTAATTCACATATTAAATGGATAATATTGACTATTTTTAATTTTACATATCATTTCACTTTGATGATAAAAGTTCTCCATCTCTTTGGATAGGAATTAGATCACCTCCCAAGACTGTGATTTAATCACTCTTGGTGATTCAAGATTACTACCATATAAGATCATTAAGTAGTTACCAAACACAATGATCTAATCACCATGCGTGGATATCATAATTTTTTGAGTGATCACCCATACAAATATTACCTTAGGATTTATCTCTGACCTGTTTACATGGTTTGTCAAATATGTTCTTTCAACTCAACCATACCCAGCTTCTATTGGTGTCTGGACTACAGATTTTAAGTTAAAGTAGAGGAGGGATGGTTGCAACTTGTGTGCTAGTGTCTGTGTGTTTGTATTCAACAGTGAAGTTGAGAATTTGTTAGGTTGGTTAGGTTTTATACTCTTGGAACCATATTATAATTTAGAGGTCACATAGATGAGTTTGGCAAGTTGGTAGATTGGAGCCATATGCACGATTAAGCTTCTTGATATGCTGATGAATGAAGTCCCTGTTGGCTTTGAGTGATGGAATTTCTTTTGAGTTTCCTTGTTGGTGAGCTACTTTATGACACTGTTATCCCTCGGCAGTCAACAAATTGTTGCCATTTTGTGCCATTCTAATCAGGGTTTGGTTTTGTTGATTGTCTTATTAAGTTTGCAACTTTGTGGCATTGAATGTTGGGCATTTGAGGATCAGATGCAATGCTTCTGGTTGTTAGATATAACTTTTATTTGGTCATTTAAAAGCAGCGTTCACACCTCTACTATTAATTAACTGTATTTTTTGTTTTAATCTTACATTAAGTTGTTGGGATGTAAGGCTTAGTTTGTTGTGTAGTTGTTGTAATCTTACATTAATTTGTTGTATTATTACCTTGTGAATAGATAGAATATGTGATGCCGTTGAAGTAGCTGGGAAAAATGTAATGTCAACATCATCCACCGTGACAACTGAACTTGTTAACCAAAGGTAAGTTCATAATAGATTACAGACAAGCAACTGAAGCTTAATTTGGATATAAATGTGGTTTAAGGGACGTTGGCATCTATCTGACTCTGAGATTGTACTTAATATTTTCTTGGCATTAACAATAGTATTATTGGATATAGATGTGGTTCAAGGGATGCTGTCATCCATCAGACTCAGGGATTGTAAATATTTTCTTGGCATTAACAATAGGGATTCTATACCTTATTTGTTATGCACAAAGGCACAGGCCCATGCACTCAACACCATACACAGAGGACAATTTTATTTGAAGCTTCTCCTCTTACTCTGAATCATCTTCTGAATTAAGAAAGAGATACAAATTGGAGTTTATTCCTTCTGCAGGTATGGAGAAAAAGCGGCTGAGGCCACAAATGAAGGGCTTGGTGCTGCAGGGCATGCTGTGGGGACAGCATGGGCTGCATTTAAAATCCGGCAGGCACTAAACCCCAAAAGTGTTTTAAAACCTAGCAAGCTAGCCAAGGCGGTTGCTAAGGCTGCAGCTGCAGAGGCAAAGGGAAAGAGCTCAAACTGATTGCTTTCAAATACCTGTTCTTCAAATTTGTGATTTAAAGATATCTGTCTATAACCCTTATGTTCCCAAAGCTACATAAATCATCAAGATATTTGTTGTTTGGTATGATATTTCTACCCTACATGTAAAAATACTGTTTTTAACTGACTATTCCTTTATTCTTTTCAGTTGTACATTTTTTATCATTAGTGGCAATAATTAGAAGGCTTTAATTTGGTTATGGTGCTGATAATTATGAAAATTAGAATCAGCAGCTTCACCCTTCACGCCCGTGACTTGCTTGAGCGTGTTAGTTTGAAGTTGAACCCTATTTGTTAGGATCTGCTGGACATTATCTGCACAACTAGATCAAAATTGTCTTCATCAACTTGTTATAGTTTTTTTTTTTTCTTGATTATTTCACATTAATTTGAACTGATCAAGTCAGTGTAAGCTTTTTGTTGCTAATATCAGTGGCAAATGGCGATAACATTTCCTCATGTGGAGGTTCCACTTCTGGTAGTGGAGGAATTATAAACTCTTAAATAATAGATTATACTGGTTCTCTGTCGATTTCTTTTTCAATCCCCTGCCTGCAAATGGGTTAAACAGCATTATCTTCGTAGGTTTCACCCAACCTTTTCGCTGGGGTTTGTATGTACGCGACAAATATACGCGCTTCAGTTAGGTAAGGATTCGCCCAGTTTTTCTTTTTTTTCCAAAAAAATTAGTTGAGTTGGTAAGATTTAAATTTTGATTTTAAAAAACTTCGATTGGAATTTTACTGTCGGGAATTATTTTTGATAAATTATTTGTATATTCAATATACATTTAAAAAAAAGCTATAGTCTATCATGATCAAGGATTGAAGAAGCTTACCTTCATCCCAAACATTTTTTCATTGTTGCATCACTCAAAATAGATACCATTTACTACAGAATACTCGTCCTGCTTTGTTCTGATTCTTAATCAAATCCCCTGGAGACCATATATTAGAATTAGTTGGGCTTATCACCTGGCTCTCAACTCTCATCACCAGCTTCTGGACCCCAATGCATCAGGGGCCACATCCACCTACCCAATTTAAATGGTGGTCCCCCAAAATCCTTTCAAAGCTAGCCATGTGCAAACCACGTTCGGCCATTTGGGATACACCACGTCTGCTCTATGACATCTAGCAACTAGCACGTAGCATGACTATAATATATATAGCTTTTTTTGTGATGGGGCCGTCAACGAGGAAGGTATTGGAATGTGAATTTGTTAATGATTTGTATGTTGGATTGGTGTCCGCTTTAAATCTATGCCACTGGCTCTCAATGTTCATAAGCTTTTTTCGAGTCCAAGTAACGAATCAAATGCTCTTCCATTGTGGAAACCAACCAATCGTCTATGGTTATTACCTCTTCGACCCATTTGGTGCAACATCTCCGGTTGATTCTTTGTCTGATTCTGATCACAAATTTTCTCAACATTTATATCTCACTTTATTCGCCATTGACTTTGCACAGCGAATGGTTGATTGGGAAAAGACTCTACCTTCTTTTTTTTTTTTTAATTATATGGGTTTAAAACTATTTAAAAAAATTTTTTTTTATAAATTTTAATTTAATATAAATAAATTTGTTTGAATCTATTTATATATTTTCGGAACAACCCAAAATAAAATAGTGAATAAAACTCAAAAACTCTTTATGCTTAAATTTAAAAAAAAAAAAGTTTGTAATATAAAACCAAACAATTTTCTGATAACCCATCTAAATGAAGATATAAAAGCCCGTTAGCATCAACAATCTTACGGAAGATCTTTCTCCTCTACCAAAATTGTCGACTGGACCTCAGGACCAGGACTCAGATTGTCCTTTGAAAGCTTAAAATTTTGCAGTGCAGACCTTAGGTCAAATTACTTTGTGAAAATTTAAAATTTAATTTTTATATTATAATTTATATAAATTTAATTTTTATATTATTTTAATTTAATTTTTAATTTAATTATTTTTTTATTTTTAAAAATATTTGCGTGATTATTAATTTGATAACGTAGACATTAGTTTTGCTAATATAGTGTTGATTTGTTAATATGATAATTTGTATTAATAAAATCAGTTATTAAATTATATAAATAATTTATGTACTCATATAAAATTTAAAATTTAATCTCTTCACTAGAAATTTAAAATTTAATCTTTATAAAATAAAAAAATATTTTGAATTTTTTATAAATTTTCTAGTTTTTTAAAAATATTAAATTTACTTTTTTCAATATTTAATTTTTTTAATTTCATTTTTTGAAAGGTCTTGTATTTTAATTTTTTAATATTAAGAAATTTAAATCTAGAAATTTTTAATATTTTGAATTTTTTAGAAATTTTCTAGTTTTTTAGAAAATATCAAATTTACTTTTTTCAATATTTGAATTTTTTAAATAAAAATCATATTTTTACTTTTTATGTTTTTCAAATTTTAACATTTTATTTAAGCAAAATATTTAACTTTTTTAGCTTTTTATAATTTTCATTAAATTTTCTATATATATATATTAATTTTTTAAAAATTTTCTATATTTTTACAATATTTAAATGAAAATTAAATAAATAACTAAAAAAAGACACGAATCTTTAAAATTTATTTTATTTGATATATTTGAATGGAAAAATATAAAAATCCGAAAAAATAAAGAAATAATTAAATACGAAAAGTTTCTAATTTCAATTTTTTTACTTGAATAAAATAAAAAAATGTAAATTTTTTTTAAATTTATAAACTTGTGTTATAAAAATTAAAAAAAGAAAAATTTTAAAAAAATTCCAAAAAATTTTAAAATACTAAAATTAAATATTTTGTTTAAATAAAAATGTTAAAATTTGAAAGATACAAAAAATTTCAAAAATGAAATTATAAAAATTAAAATAGTAAAAAATAAATTTAATATTTTTAAAAACTTAAAAATTGTAAAATATTTAAAATATTTTTTATATTAGAGACTAAATTTTAAATTTCGATAAATATATATATTAAATTTTAAATTTTGTCTGAGTATAAAAATTATTTATATAATTTAATAATTGATTTCATTAATTCAAGTTGACATAATGTCACATCAATAAAATCAAAACTTACATCATTATCAACGAGTGGTTGGTTCAATCGATTAAGGTCATTCTTTTCAATGAAAAGATTTTAGTTTCGAATCTTATCAATGATCATTTATTGAGATAATCTCGAATGCACGATCTGTAACTATTTATCTTAAGTTGTAAGATAAATACTTATATCATTAAGTCAATAATCACATCAATATTTTTAATAATAAAAAATTTATTAAATTAAAATTGTATAAAAATTAAATGTATATGAATTATAATATATGAACTAAATTTTAAATTTTTATAAAATATAAAAATCATTTATATAATTTAATCAAGATCTACCTATCAAGTTACGGCCAAACCGTCTGTTCATAAAAAAGAAAAAAAAAAAAGACAATTTAAACGGGTAAAGAATATAAAGACACAAGATAAACTACGACCTAAAACCCCTTAGTACTCTATCTTCTTTTAATATGATAAGAAGGTACATAAAATGATTATCTTGGATATTGTTATAACAAAATCTACTTTTAGTACTCTATCTTCCTTTTAATACGAAAAGAATGGACATTAGAAAATGATTATCTTGGATATTATTGTAACAAAATCTATCTTTTTTCCTCTTTTCTACATTTTATATGAAAAAGTGACCTAATTAAAATTTTATCTTTTTATTGGTAGATGATTTATTATTTTTTTTCTTTGTTTTGTGTTATCCTTTTAGGTAAGGCAATAAGGCTGACACGGCGTGGGAAATTTATTGGCACACACCAAGTCATGGTGACCTGAGCTTCGTCAAATATGTAGTGGCTGTTAAGTCCATGGAAGGCTTGATGGATTAGTGAGGTGGAAGGGCTTCTGAATCAAACAAACATACGGCACGCCCATACTTTTTTGGGATTTTATTACTAATTTTAAGCCGCCCACCTTCATATTAATTAGCCTTTTATCTCGAATGGCGTTGATGGCAAAAATCTTAAAGCATCAACTATCCCCACTTGTTTGTAAACTTATCTTACTAGTACAATAAAGGATTCTATATATATATATATATATACTCTTTATTTTAGGCAGTCAGATTGGAACAAATTATATGATTATTAGCAATATATGCCTTATACTTATTAACTTAATGCATTTCTATTAGTAAAGTACTTCATATGATGGCAAATATTTGTTTACACAATTCATGGTTTCATTCTATACTGCTAAGATCATGTGGCTATGAATTAAGATGATGAACAAAATTTGACATTCCAAAAGTATTCATTTTCAAATTACTGATTTCTTTTTTATCTAAGATTTATCAGACAAAATGGTGAGAAAGATTTTCAATTATATTTAATGATTGAATCATAAAACAATATTACGAAACGATGAAAGTTCTTCCGTTGGCAAATATCCCTCAGTCGACCTATAATTTATTTACTATGGTCGTTCATCTTAATAAAAATAATGTAATAATTAGCTATTCACGTCGTTCTTGCCTAGCTAACTACGTAGGACAAGTCTTATCCCACCGAAAGAGGAATTCTGAAATGCCGCTCACATTTTTGACTTACTAAGGTCATGGTAGTTAAACACTTCCCTAAAGCTCATGGTAGTTAAAACATTTCCCTAAAGTTGAGTTATATTTGAAACATCTTTGAACCTAGATATGAGGCGGTTTTAAAATTCGTTGATGGCTTTAGATAAAGTTTGTTTTCTTTCGAGTCCTGCTTGTTGAAAGCTGTCGGCCTGACAAAACCAAATTCTTAAACTACTGCAGTACCAGAATATTGAAGCTCACCTGAAATCTTCAGTATTTTTGACCCAGTATACAGAAAAGTTTCACTGACTTTCTACAAAAAATTTGGACACATCAGAAGATTAATAGTACAACAGTCGAATTTAAGAAGGAAAGAGTTGGAAAAACGAAAGAAACAAAGAAAGATGTGGCAAAAATGTAGTGGATGAGGAATAAAACACCACAAACCTCCACTTCTGAAAATTGAAGTCGTCGTGCATTGCCTTCAAAAAGTGGCAGATGACACAAGAAGCAGTATATTAAAAACACCCCATTTAAGAATCAACATACATTCTCTACTTCTTAAATATAACACATAATATAGGTGCACATATGCGTACGCAGACACATACAAAAACATAGACATGCACATAAGATCTTGTTGAATGTGAAAATATTAGTACTTCATAGGTTCAAAAATGGCAGAAAAATCATTTAAAACCTCTCCTAGAAGTTTTGAAGGTTCACCAATTCTAGTCTCTCCAATAGGTACTCCTTTGAGAAAGGTGTTCAATAGAATTTCAGGTTTTGCTTCATCTTGGGGAAGGAGAACAGCCCCCCGAGGTCGTAGGATTTTCCATAGGGATGTGGAACAGGAAGAGTTCCAGTATGCAAGTACTCATTGTCTCTCATCATACTACAGTGTTTTTGTAGCTCGCCTTGCCATCATGGTTAGTACAAATTTTCCTTTCACAGTTATTTTTAGTTAGAATTTTCAATCATTTCAGCCTGAATTTTATTAATCAAAGCTTTTCCCGATGTATGCTTTCAGGTCATGCTAGCTATTTTGATTGGGCTGCTAACAATTCTAACATGGCATTTTACAAGGATTTATACAACAAAATCACTAAACACCTTAACTTTTGGTCTTCGTTATGAGCTTCTTCAGCGGCCTATCTTACGGATGTGGAACATCTTGAATTCTACCTCGGAAATAACAACTGCCCAGGTCAAGTTGTCAGAATATGTAATCAGGCGGTACATCAAGCCTTCCAACCAAGCAGAACAAGTTGAGGTTGATCCTTGGTTATTTTCTTCTGACTGAACAGTGCTTATCAAGTGGTAATTTGGTTTTGAAACATTTTTGTGAAATCCCAATTCAGTAACCTTTTTTTTTTTCGGTTGATTTCTTGCACTCTTAGCAGCTGTACCAAATGATGAAAGACATAACATGGGCACTATTTGCCAGTCGAAAAGCTCTCAATGCCATAACTATAAATTACAGAAATGGATTTGTCCAGGCATTCCATAGAGATCACAGGAGTAACAATACATTTTACATCTACTCTGATCTTGCAAATTATTCAATCGGTGCCAGTGAGTCTTATGACAGCAAAATGCCGTCATCGCGACATGGGTGGAATGACCAATTCATTCATGGTAATGTTTCTGCGACCTGGTATCGTGAACCACTTGATCCTATCACTGGAGAGAAGACAGGAAAGGC